TTACAGAAACCTAACGCAGCTCAAGTCCATCACCCCAGCAGAACACAAATCCCATAATACAGATCCCATATCCTCCTGGTGGAGGTGTTCCTGTCCATGGGGGTTGGCCTGGGGGAGCTTTGCGGTCCCTTCCCACCCAAACCAGGCTGTGCTCCTGTGAATCTATGGACCCGGGCATTATAGGCTCACTTGCAGACTGCAGCCTGCTTCTAAGATCAGAATTTCCCCTTAAAAAAAGGATAAAACAAAAGGAAGAAGGAAAAGAAAACAATCAGAGCACAGGGGAACCCAGCAGAGCAGAGCTGGCCTTGCCTGCACTTCTTCCATGGCAAAGGGATAATCTAGATCTGACCTAGATGTGAATGCAGAAGAAAACACACAGGGCCCGCAATGGAAACACCCGAGCAAGCACACAAATGCCCAGGATTCAGCAGACAAACCCAGCTCGTCTAAATTAAACAGCAGCGTTGTATTTCTGAGCAGTTCTGCCACTGACTCAGCCTCGGGAAAGCTCTTTCCTCTTGCCCACCTCCCACCAGGCCTCCCTCGCTGCGTGATCAATGTTTCAGGCTGCCCGAGCGCAGGCTGCCCTCCAGGCACCCAAACCCAGGAGAAAAGAACAAACCCTCGCCACAAATTCACCCGGGCACGGGCCCTTCCTGCGCAGCTTTAAAGGAAGGACGTTAAATACCGAAGTCGATAGCGCAGGGCGGGAGCTGCGCAGGGCGGGAGCTCACGGGGCCCTCAGAGGCGTCGCGGGTCGAACGAACGCCCAAAGCTGACACAACCTGTAATGATCCCGTTCCTGACTGATTTTGAAAGGGGTCGTCTCCTCGCAGGGCACAGCGATGGCGAAGGGGTTGATATTCACACACGGCTCCTGCACACCCCAGTTTGTGACCCGCGCTTTCCCGATTCAACGACGTTTGGATCCCACGAAAGGTCTGAGGCAAACGGCTTTAAATCAAAGCCTCCCCACTCTCAGAGATCACGTTACAGAGCACACAAACTGCAAGTGGGAAGAGCTGCTTCATTTACTAAAGGCTCTTTTCTCTTTTCTCATGAGTCAGCTGAACTACGCTCACTCTGTTGCTCCGCTTAACAGAAACCATCATCCACGAGGTAGGGAAGAGAGAAGGGGCTCAAGCCAAGATCACCAAGTCCAGCCCATGACCTAACACCACCACATCGACCGGACCATGGCACTGAGTGCCACATCCATCCCCTCCAGGGATGGGGACTCCACCATCTCCCTGGGCAGCCATTCCAACGCCCGATCACACTCTCCATGAAAAGTACTTTCCAGCACCTCCAGATCCTTCTTGAAATGAGGGGCCCAGAGCTGGACCCAGTACTCGAGGTGAGAACTCACCAGTGCTGAGTACAAAGGGAGAATCACATCCCTGCTCTTGCTGGCTACACTGTTCCTGGTACAGGCCAGGATCCCATCGGCCTTGGGGCCAGCAGCACTCTGCTGGCTCACGTTCAGTCACTGTCAACCAGTCCCCCCCGCCCCTCTCTGCTGGGCCGCCCCCCAGCCACTCTTCCCCCAGTCTGTAGCACTGCACGTGGTGGTTGTGGTGGGTGAAGTGTAGGACCCTGCACTTGGTCTTGTTCAACTTCAGACCCAGCCTGGCCAGGTCCCTCTGCAGCCTCCTCCTGCCCTCTGGCAGACCAACAGTCCCCTCATATTCGAAACTTCACGACCACATTCCCTCAAGATGGTAAATGCCTTCAGTCTGGATGGTAAATGCACTGCATCACCTTTTCTTTGGGTCGCTGAACCAAAGCCCTCACCAGATTAGCGCTGATCACCCCTAATCGGACGTGAAAACGCCTCCTTTGTCAGCGTGACAGCTTCCCTGTGTGGGCAACGCTCCCCAGCGCAGCGCGCTTCAAGGACTCATGCGGATGGAGAAGAAAGGGAAGGTGAAACATGAAATGATGACAAGTCAGCCACGCTTCTCTTTTTCTGCTCTTCCCCGCCGGGTTTTGGGAAATGTTGCCATGGTGATGGCAGCCGCGGGGCTGCGAGCGACAGCTCTCCCGAGAGCAGCCTCTGCAAACCCAACGCGCGCTGCTGGGGATGATGGGCACGGCTGGACCATGGGGCCGTGGTGGGATGCCCACGGTGGGATGCCCATGGTGGAATGCCCATGGTGGGATGCCCACAGTGGGATGCTCGTGGTGGGATGCCCACAGTGGGATGCCCATGGCGGGATGCCCGCATCACGCATTGGGACCAGCGCTGCCCCCAGCCAACGCACCCACCCCCAGGCTCAGGGGGCCTCTGTGTCCAAGGAGGAGCCGGGCTGCAAGGCAAGGATGATTCTTGCTTCCTCTGCATTAGGCAGTAAAGATTTAGCGAAGCGATTACCGTATGCAGCTGTAGCGGTCTGATAAAATTACACTGAAATAGGGCACTAAATTATATTGACAAGACACAGCATCTTTGCATGCCGCACGTGCTGGCTGCCCGGGCTTTTTTAGCTCGAACAAAGCACTGCTCTGCAAAGCTAATGAATACGTGGGAATGCTTCCAAGGGCAGAAAAAGCAACGGAGTTTTACGGCAGCTTTTTATTCTATTTTTTATTAAATTATCATTAACATTAGGGCTGCTCCATTTGCATTCAGGAAGAGAATTGTAGAGATGCAAGACCACAGGTATAGTAAATAAACCCAAAGCACCGCATAAAGGGAAGCGATGCTGTCAGCTGCTGCTTCTAAAATGACCCTTGCAGTTGGCTCTGACAGCGATGTTTCCGTGCCTTGTGGGTTTCCTAACAGCAGACAGCTCTCACTTGCTAAATTCTCCTGGAGCTGGCGAGTTGCCGTGGTTAAATCACATCACATCTGCCTACTGACTTGGGTTGGGCTGAAGTAAAATCACAGCCTGGAATCCCACTAGCATTTAGCACAGAAAGTAAAGGAGCCCTGAAGATGAAGGTAAAGGAGAAGATGTCCAGGAGAGGTGGAACAAAAGGAAGTCAAATTACCTACTTAGACTGGAAGTCAGTTTTAATTCGATTTAACCAAACTCACAAGCAGGGAATTCTTACGGATATTAAACAAAGGAACCAAGGTTATTTTGAGGGTTACTCACAGGCTGAAGCTCTTAAAATAACGACTGACTGTCATTTGGAAAGGCTTGAGATTTATATGAGAGCACTGAGCCACAAAATAGGCATCATTAGAAATGGAGACAGACATTTGAAACTACCACGGAACAGAACTACTAAATGCAGATCCTTCATTTAAAATCATTCCTGCACAAAGTAAAACGGGACTGGACCCCAGCCTGCGATCGGCTACGCCTTCATTTACTTCCCCTCAGCTCCTATCACACAAGCGCCTGTCGTCACAACACCACATTTCCTCTCCAGTTGTCTTTTCCTAGGGTCAAATTTGAGGAACTCCAATGCAGCAGAAGGCTCAATGATTTTAAAAAAATAAATCAAGTTTTATCTCCCTCTTTCCTTTCAGATGTAATCACAGTTCACCTCGCTCAGCCTTTGATGCTCACAGGCGAAATTAAAGCCGGGAAAAAGGAGCAAGAATTAAATTTTCATGGGAGTTTTTAACGAACAATTGAAGCGAGTTGAGAACGGGAATTAAGACAGAGGCAAAACTGCCGTGATGTTTCCAGAGCAGAGGAAAGGCCTCCTCAGCCCCCGACTCTGATTTAGGTTTTATTGTGTTGCCTGTTCTCAGCACCGCCAGCCCCCAGCGGCCCCATCTGCCGGCAGCAGCTCAGGCTGGAGCACAGGAGCAGAGAATGAGACCTGACACTGACACAGGGGAAACGCAGGAAACGGAAGAAAAACGCACGCGTTTTCTAGGCAGATTCAACACTGTGCAAGGGATCTCCTCACAGACCTACAGACATCAACCCCACACCCGCCCTTCTGCCGATGAGCTGTTTAGTGAGCCTTTACATTCATCAGTGCTGACTGACTTCAGCTTCAGGTTCCAGACTCTGAAGAGCTCCTCTCCATCACTTGGGCAGCGTTTCAGAGCACCCAGGAAGTGCAAAGAGAGATGGAGGTGAAGCACGGCAGGGGTTTGAGCTCCAGAAAAGGAGCTGTGGCCACCCAGTCCTCCCCAAAACCTTCAGAGACCTGAGCACTTAGCTTGTCTTTTCCCTTCAAGTCTTTATTGGGTCAATGAGAATCACAAGAAAGATTTCTCAGGGAGAAATAATGAAAAGATGACTCCATGCATCCCATTTCACTACTTGGTGCAGAAGAGAAGGACATCTCCATGTAGACCTGTGTGAGTCCTTCTCTGCTCCAGGGAAAGGAGAAAATAGGGGAGGGAGGGTTGAGAAGCCATAGGCCAATGATCACCAGGAATTTAACTTGTCATTTTTGCTGACTATCACTAGAGAAGCCCCCGAAGCAGCAGTTATTTGAGATATAATCCAGCATGCCACACAAAACCACTACAGTGAAATCCCACACAGAGCCAGGGCGCTGCTCCGTTTTTTCCTAACCAGGTACTCACCTTCTAGAGGCAAAAACCCTTTAGCCCTGCTGTCCTCCCACCCAGTGCAGGCCACAGCCCAGCCTACAGAGCTGGGAAGTTTGCACCTGAAGGAAAGGCCAGCAAACTCCCAAAAAACAACAAAACTGCTGCCAAAATTGTGCCTCCTGCTGTTTGGTGGCTTCTGTCTGAAGGAGGAGCCTCAGTGAGACGTCACTTCAGGAACGGCTTTGGTTGGAAAACACCGTCAACATCATCGAGTCCAACCACCACACCAGCCTTACACACACCACTAGAGTAGGGAGCAAGGTTTTTAAGCAATACCAAATACTCTCACAAGTCCTACAGCTCACGGTCCGTCACACCGCACCAAAACTGCAGCACACCTACTTTAAACTGAAAGAGCTTCCAAAAAGTTAAGCAGCAACCAGCTGCAGACCTGTCATTGAGCAAGCGAGCCCGAAAAGGGAGCAAAGGCATCTGAAGCCAGTTTTTGATGCAGTAAACCAAGCTTTACCTTCTGCAGGAAGAGGACAATCCTCACAAGCATCTTGGCATGCAGCTCCTCCAGGGTGAAGAGCGTTCGAGGCGTGCGGATGAAAATCTTGGTCTTGCCATAAGCGACATCGTGCTGAAAGCCATGGCACTCGATGAGCTTCTTGACAGCATCCTTGTCTGAAGGGAGGTCGTGGTTTGGCCAAGTGAATTCCGAGATCATCTTGTACCTGGAGTTACAAATGGAAACCTGTCAACCTCTCAAGAAAGCCAAATTTCAACCCGTTTTAGAAATAGTTATGACCTAAGTTCTAATAAAACTGGTTACAGGTAGAGGAGCCTCAAGACATCCTGTGTAGGAATCGTGATCCTCAAAATGCAAGGAAAATGAACACGAGAGAGGCAGGATTTTGTGAGACGCTGAATGAACAACATCACGAGGAGCTCAGTTCACCAGCACCCAAACCTCCCCATGGCCTCCCCATGGACTCGGCAGCTCCGTTATCCCCACTTCCAGCACACCATTTGAGATACTTCTGCCAGGAAGAAAAGCTTTGCTTTGCTCCCACCCTGCACAAGAAGCCAACCGTCAGAGATTGTTTTGTCAGAAAAAACCACATCTAAACCTGCAAATCGTTTTCTCTTCCTCATTTTGTTTGCCGTTTCTGATAAATTCTGTTATTTACCAACACAGCACGGAGTTGGCTGCCACTCTGTGCAAGCACCACCACCTCTAATTGCTGTTCAGTCTTTGCTTCCCAAACTCCCTTTTGTGCTATGAGAGGGAATGCAGCTTGGCACTGATGTTGACATTGCTGTTCAGTCTTTGCTTCCCAAACTCCTTTTGTGCTATGAGAGGGAACGCAGCTTGGCACTGATGTTGACGGGGTCTCAATCACGACGAGAAAAACTTATCTGCACAGTTGCAGATGAGCAGGGACTTCTTTTTTGCAGCGCTGGGGACGCACAGGGGGAAGCTCCTCTAATTGTGCTCCAGCACCCATACATTTTCACAGCCCATGTGTACATTTTTAACAAAGCAAAATCATATAAGCGTGCATAAGATGATCATCTTTTACTCTGCCGCTCACCTTGATTGGTTCCCCACTATCACCCATCAGACATTGAATTACCCCTATATGATTTTTGACGTAGAGAGAGAAAAGAAAAGTTACGGCCTATTCTTCTCGTACCCTTTCCAAGCACCTGCACACACATATCCCACTCCAGGCACCTGTACACACATATCCTGCAGTCCCTTCTTAACTTTGTAGATGTCAAAATGCTCTTTTAGCTCTACTGCTAAAACAAATACCTACTTTAATCAGCCGGGATTTTCTCATGACTATAACACTACGACCACCACAAATAAAACACCAGAAGAACCACACCAGGCTCTGCTCTGGACGATTTGCCAGCCTCGCAACGCGCTGGTTGGGTTTGCAAAAAAGCAACAACGCGTTTTCTGCGTAAGATTTATGGACATCATCACAAACTTAATAGGCATTTTCACTGTAATAGCGCCCGCATTCGTGTTCTAAATAAAACAGGCACGCAGCAATCTTAACCACTGCTTTGTTTAAAAGCCCACGTTTCAAGCCAAGCATCCATCTCAGCGTTTCAGAGTTTTCAGCTGCTATTAAATGGGCGCAGCAACAAACCAGTTTGACTGGGGACAGGGTGCACTGAAGGAGTCACCAAGGGAAACCCATCACCCCAGCGCTTTCGTCCATCAAAAAAGGGGGTGCACGCTGAGCCCAAGCAGGGAACAGCATCAGGGCCACGAGGGATTTACTGCTAAATGGAACAGGGAGCATAAAAACCCTGCTCGGACTCGCACCAGAAGACTCAGCATTTACACTCGGCAGAAGCGTCCCTGCCCTCACACACACGGGACATAAATATTTCACACTGGTTTCTCTTTCCCGTTCTCATAAGGAAAATGTTCCTGCAGTGATTAATTCACGGGGAAAATCTTCCACCTTGAGACGTTTACAGTGGGGAGAAACAACAGCAGGCAAGGAGAGCATCAGCGCCAGCCTGGGTGTTACTGAACTGGGCTGCTCCGCCGATGGGGCCAGGAAGAAAAGGGATAAGATGTAAAAAACTGGAAATATTGACTTGTCTTCCTTCTTTACAACATCAACAAAGGCTCTGGTGTTTAAAGACCTCTAGAGGCAAACGGCCCTCTCCCTCACCTCCCTCTCACCACTGGGACTGGCGGTGCCACGTCCTGGTGTCCTTTGGTGGCTCCCACGGCACTGCAGCGTGGTCACCAACCCCTTCCCTGCAGCCTGGATGCCACAGCAAGTCAAAAATCCAACGGTGCTGCTGGTTATAGCGAGGCAGAACCCCAAATCCAGCTGCTTGGTGACCCCACAACCCTTCCCCTCTGGGGATCTCGCAGCTCTCAAGGTCACCTCTACATCAACCCCCTCTGTTTCTCCCTCCTCTCCTCTGCACTTTGAGCTGTGGAAACACCCAGCACGCACGAGGTTGCTACGAGAGCTCACGCCTCCCTCTTCTCAGATTCTTGGGAGCGACCAAACGATCCAGATTTACTGACGAGCATCGGGTCTGCATGTGTGGCGGGGCCGGACCCTCCCCTCAGCCTGCGCTGTGTCACGTATGGGCCAAGTTTACCATGGGCTGCAAATAGGGGCGAGTGTTGGGTTACGCTCACAGGCAGCCCGTGCCTCGCAGGCACTGCTCAGCCCCTGCCCCACGCACCAAAATCCAGCGTTTTTTAATAGCATAAGTTACACATTGCATTAAAAGAATGCATCAGGTCTATTCAAGACGCGCGGCCCTGACGCGCACTTCACCCAGCTGGAAGACGCTGCTACCAAGAGAGCACACAACTGAACATGTAGATCTTATTTTCTGCAAATTGGTAAGGGCAGACTGGTTTGCTCAGAGCTCAAGTAAAAGCTTTCCTAATTTCAAGGAACACTTGCAAAGGACATTTATTAATGGTCTCAATTGTGCTTTACCTCATTTCCCATCACAGACATGAGACAGCAACTACCTCACAGTATTCCAGGGCCAAACAGCACAATGCAGGCTGCGTTCAGGGAGCCAGGCCCTTTCCTTCTACTTCAGCTATCGCAAAATATCCAGGCAAATCTCCACTGTGAACAGCAAAGATCTGCCAAGAGCGCTTCATTTCTGACATGTGACATCCCATCTACTTAAATAGTTTCCATTTTTTCTACCTTCAGGGCTTTTTTCTCACCTGGTTCAATAGCAGAAGTCAAAATCAATTCACTATTTCATCAGCAGAGGTTGAATTCTTACTACCCAGGCTAATTTACTGAACCATAAGACAGATTTCAATCTAAAACACTTCATTTGTCGCAAGTCTGGCAGGAATTAAGAGGGCAATCAGTATCAAAACCATGTTTTAATGGGGTCACATTACTATTCCTTTTCCAGACTTCCAGTTTGAAAGTCCAGAGGTTTACTCCTGCGCACACGTGTCCCTGTGCGCCATCGAGCGCTTCCCACAACGCCCAGCGTCTGCCTGTCTCCATTGCTGTGACAATTAGTGCTCAGAGAGAAAACAGAGGTTAATTAGCTCTGGTTTTTGGGTTATGCTCTGGGGAAGAACCTCATTACACGTTCCTGCTGCACAGACAAATACAGGCAATGAGTTTTAGCACAACAGAAAGAGTTGGTTTTGGCTTGAAAGAGTCCAGCAGAGCCACAAAGATGCTGGCGGGCGTGGAGCATCTCCTGCTGAGGAGCCGCTGAGGGAGCTGGGGCTCTTGAGCTTGGAGCAGAGCAGACTGAGGGGTGCCCTCATTCCTGGGGATCCATTGGGAAAGGGCAGTGTCAGGAGGAAGGAGCCAGGCTCTGCTCTGGGATGGCCAATGCCAGGACAAGGGGCAATGGTCCCAAGCTGGAGCACAGGAGGTTCAACCTGAAGATGAGGACAAAGTTTGTGAGTGTGAGGGTTATGGAGCATGGCCCAGGCTGCCCAGAGAGGTTGTGGAGTCTCCTTGTCTGCAGACACCCAAAGCCCTGGCCGTGTTCCTGTGTGACTGCTCTGGTGATCCTGCTCTGGCAGGGGTGGCACTGGGGGAGCTTTCCAGATCCCTTCCCACTCCTGACATTCTGTGGTTCTGTGTGAACAGAAGCTGAACCCGAGTCCCACACGTGCACCCTCAACACGTGTGCTGCCCCAAAACCAGAGGGCGACCAGAGCCCTCGTCAGACCCACGGTTCATGGTGCCCAACAGCAGACACCAAACCAAACACCCCCACTGTTGTGCTCAGGCGTGAGGATCAGAGCTCAGAGGACTCCATGCTCACCCTTCATGCCAGGGGAGCAGCCCAATCCCACACCTCATCCCAGCACCCCAGGTGTCCCACAAACCGAGCCCCTCACCAGCGCCATCCTCACCTATGCAGGAACTTCTCGTAGGTTTGGCGGTAGGCAAAGCCTGCCCGGCGGACCCGCACGTTCTCCAGAAGGCCGAGGTACTCGACTTGGTGTCGGCAACGCTCCTCGTCAAAAAGCTGTGGTGACTTCTTATCGTTGGGCTTAATGCAGCGGACGTAGTAGGGCTCCTAAGGGGACAAACCAAACCCTGTTTCACTCAGAAGCAAAGAAGTCCATGTGGACACAACTGTTTCCTGTGAAAACACCGAGACATCATCTACCCCAGCCATCCGAATGGGGTCTGGCTGCTGAACAGGAATGGCAGGGTTAGAGCAGAGATGCCCAGAGTGGCACAGCAGTTACACGTTCCTCCCCTTCGCACGCTGCAGCGACATCCGTTACAGGATCAGCTCAGTCCAGCTCAACTGGCCTGGCTACACAGCAGAACCAGGTCCACATCCCCCTGCTGCAGCCTTTGACGATACCAAAAACAGAAAAGGCAGAATAAACAACAATAAAAAACTCAACATGAGTCAGCAATGGGCGCTTGCAGCGCAGAAACCAACCCCATCCTGGGCTGCATCGCAAGGAGTGCAGGCATGGGGCCAGGGAGGGATCCTGCCCCTCTGCTCTGCTCTGGTCAGACCCCACTGCAGGGCTGTGTCCAGCACTGGGGACCCCAATATAAGGACATGGGGCTGCTGGAGAGTCCAGAGGAGGCCATGGAGATGCTGAGGGGCTGGAGCAGCTCTGCTGTGGGGACAGCTGAGAGAGTTGGGGCTGTTCAGCCTGGAGAAGAGAAGGCTCTGGGGGGACCTTAGAGCAGCATCCAGGACCTGAAGGGGCTACAGGAGAGATGGGGAGGGACTTTTGATGAGGGCATGGAGTGACAGAATGAGGGGAATGGTTTTAAACTGGAAGAGGGGAGATTTAGACTGGATAACGGGAAGAAATCTTTCCCTGTGAGGTGGTGAGGCCGTGGCCCAGGGTGCCCAGAGAAGCTGTGGGTGCCCCCTCCCTGGCAGTGCCCAAGGCCAGGTTGGACGGGGCTGTGAGCAGCCTGGGCTGGGGGAGCTGTGACCCCATGGGGGTGGAAATGGAGGATCTTTGAGGTCCCTTGCCACCCAAACCAGGCTGTGGTTCTGTGAATGAAGGAGTACAACAGGGGCACTAAATCGGGGGTACTAGGAAGTTTCAGAGTGCAAGAACCCAAAACGTTAACAAATGAGAGGTACCTTTTGGGGGAAAAGATAAAAAGGGATTAATTTAGTGAGGACAAATGCAAAATCCCACATTTAGGCAGAAATAGTTGTGTAATAAAAGAATGAAAAACTGATTTGACAGCCGTGCTAGAAGATGATGGAGGAGTTGTAGCTGAACATGAGTCAAGTTCGTGTTTTTCTAAGAAAGGGGCGCGGGAACAGCAAAACTGCAAGACAAAAAAAAATGCCCAAAAGTTCTACTCATCTGAACCCTGCACTGGGTTTGGGGCACTGCAGTTCAAGTGGGGTGCAAACGGCGGTGAGTCAGTTCAGGGAAGACCGAGAAGGATCAAAAATCCAGCAAATGTGGCTCAGAGGAAACGTGGTTTTAATCTCGAAGGACTGAGGAGCCACATAACCACCCCGATGTGGGGTTTTGTATGCGTCAAGGGTAGACATGGAGAAAAGGCAACATTCAGTTTTAGGACAAAGCAGCACTGGCTTTAACCACAGTATAAAATTCAAATTAGGCACTGGGAGAACAAGGACTGGGAGCAGAATCCCTGGGGAAAGGGAGGGACAGAGCCTGAACATGGACCTGCATAGAAAAGGTGGAGGCAGAGGTGTCCTCAAACAGGAGGTGAATTGGGTGCATTCCCAAGGTCCTCTTTGGCCGTGTTTTCTATGATCTGTCTATGGTTTAGCCCCATTTTGTATGATTTCAGGTCACTCGCCTGGTCTCAGGATGACACAAAAGGCCCCAAATTGCTATTTTCCCTTCAGCAATACTGAAGAAACAGGATCGCCCTCGAACAGCCTGGGCCAGTCCTGATGCGCCCTGGGGTACGCAGCACTAACAACACGGAGCTGCCGCTCGCTAACGAGGATCAATGGGCTGAGTGAATATGAGTAAAGAACAGGCTGAGATAAGGAGGAAAAATCGACATATTTTACATATCCCAATATATTTGGAAAAGCAGAGCCTCGTATCCTAGAAACTGGGAGAAGCCAGCGGACCCTTCCTGGGGAGGTGTTGGACCGCAACGTCCCCCTGCGCTTTCTCAAGCACGCGATCTTTTTTGGCTTGCTGCTGAAAATCCTCCCTGCGCTGAAGGCACGAAGGTTTGCGAGGGGCTTTCTTCACTCGTCAGTCTCCTACCAAGCGCTCAGAACCCGCAGGCTGCGTGGGCGATGATTTCTCCTCCGGTTTAGAGCCTGGCTGTGCCATGGGAACGCAGCTGTCACCAGCGCTCTTCATGCTCGCTCAGACACCGGGTGTCAAACTCTGAAGGCAGAAGCAGCCCTTTCTGAACCTCAAAGCAGCGCTGCAGTAGCTTTCACGTGGTCATGGCACCTAGAACTGATGAGGAGCAGGAGTTTGCTGGACCTGATACCTGCAATTTATCAGCTCTGTATTGTAATCGCTCTGTTGCATGGCAAGAAACACAGGTCAGGGCACTCATCTGCTAGAACAAGTCTTTATGGACTGGAAATCAGCTGTTCAGGGAAGGTGCAGGTTATGCAGAGAACTCCCTGAATTACTCCTGCACTTAGGAAGAGCCTGAAGGTGAACGGTTCGCAGCTCTCCCCATTCCCACTTGCTAACATTGCACTTGGGCCACTTCTCCATCCAGACCTGCAATGACAGAGCTACCCCAGCGCCAGCAACAGTCGCTAACAATGCCAGACCACGTCAGGTCTGCCCTCAGCACCGCTGTGCTGCATCAGGCCTGGGGACGAGTGGCTGG